GGCATCACCGGGGGCCTCTACATCTACTGAGTTAAGTATCCTCCAGGCATCCTCCACCGAGGTACTGCGAGGCGTTGGTGAGCCATTTCCGGTCTCCGCAGTCCCACGACCGACCGTCGCGAGTCCGCGCGCTTAGAAGCGGATACTCCCCTGTATCAGAGATTTTGGGGGGAGATCTGGGGGAGATATGGGGAGATATGGGGGAGATAGGGCGAGATGTAGGGGAGAGAGTAGACCTGGATCTGGTCCTCGAGGCCGCCACATCTCGCCCATATCTCGCCCACATCTCCCCCACATCTCCCCACATCTCGCCCGCATCTCCCCCCAGCTCGCCTGGATCTGGTCCTCGAGGCCGCCGACGTCGTTAAACTGCTCCGTCGGCTTCTCGTCCACCTCCATCGCCTAGACGAGATATGGGGGAGATGTGGGCGAGATGTGGGGAGATGTGGGGGAGATATGGGGAGATGTGGGCGAGATGTGGGCGAGAGGTGGGCGAGATGTGGGGGAGATGTGGGCGAGATGTGGGGGAAATGTGGGCGAGATGTGGGGGAGATGCGGTCCGTCGCCTTGACGCGCGAGTCAAACTCGGCCGGCAGCGCCTAGAGATGCGGAGACGTGAGGAAATATGGGGGAGATATGGGCGGGCAGCGCCTAGAGATGCGGAGACGTGGGGAGAAATGGGGGAGATATGGGGGAGATATGGACATGAGGCAACCGCCAGGAGATGCGGAGTTATGCTGAGGAGATAGAGGGGAGAGATAGGGGAGATAGGGGGGAGATATGGGGGAGGGGGAGGTATATAGCCTCGAGGATGAGGTACGAGTCCTTATTGACTCCCCAGATCTCCCCCAGATCTCCCCCAGATCTCCCCCAGATCTCCCCAGATCTCCCCCAGATCTCCCCCAGATCTCCCCCAGATCTCCCCCAGATCTCGCGCGTACCTCGAGGCCCCAGATCTCCCCCAGATTTCCCCCAGATGCCCCCAGATCTCCCCCAGATCTCCCCCTGATCTCGCAACGGGTCTCCCCCAGATCTTCCCCCAGATCTCGCCCAGATCTCGCGCG